GCCAGATACAAAACTAAAGCGGACATGAACAATAACACATATAGAGAATAAAGTTTATCTCTATCACTTAGAGTGTGTAACTGCCTTTCTCTGGCCTCATACACTGGATCATTAATTTATTTATATTAGACAATATTATACAAAAGATACATGTAAAGGAAGAAACTAATCTAACTTAGAAGGCTTGTTAGAGCTACTATCGATTGCAGTAAGACTGCTGCCATCCGACTGACGATGAAACACTTTCTCAAGAAGTAAAGTTGAACATTTAATCGAAACATATATGTCACAGATCTTACATAATTGTATTTATTCTCATTTATTTCATTTCTTTATGCGATTATTACATATTTAACGCAATTGATTGTTTCTCTACTTGTGTTTTACGATATCGAAATATCGGAGAGAGAAAAGAAAAATTAGTCGCATATTGGACATTGTGATGTATGCTAACGCGAAGTAAAAGCACGATTTACAATTGTTGCCTGTTGTAATGTCCAGTAACTGAAAGATAATTGAACTGTAATGACTTACTCATATATAGCATTCTTTTCAATGAAGAATTAATATATCGTGTAAATCATTGTTCTAAGAGTTCCAGTTGACAGATATTTTATACGGATCTATTAAACCAGTATTTCAAACCAATGAAAAATAATTAGTTTTCTAATAATAATACAATACATTTTATGTGAATTTAGTACAGTGCTTAAGTCATTAATGCTCAGCGTATCTAACAAATATTTTTAGTGGAAATCCGTGTCATACTCACATGTGTATCATAATGTCTTAAAGTATGTAACTAAACCACAATCAAAGAAGTATGAACGATACTTAATGACTATTATCATAATAGCCACTATTAATAGCAGTAAATAAGTAGCCATTTTGAGGCAGTTTATATTATATTTAATTACACTGTATCGCTTTGGTCTCTCCGTTTTTACGATGGTATTATTATTTGTAGATAGAATCATAACTCTAGAATCGATCGAACCTCGAATCACTTATTTTTAAGTCTATTTTTTACAGTTACCGAGAATTAAATAGGCAATGCAATTGAAAAACACAACACACATAAACACACAGATGAGATCTGTAATTGCGTAATCGATGCGATCGTGATGGATAATTTGTCGTTTAATTTTTGTTATTTTTTGGATTATATGTATATTATATATACGACTACATTATACACGCTATATACACGATTACATTATCGAGTTTGACAACATAAATCCATATATGTGTATAAGTAAGTATTTTTATACAACCTCTTTTTAGCTTAAGTTTTTATTATTAGTGATTTGCGTTATAGATATAGCTGGAAACATTATGTAGTGAACTTTCCGATGTAATACTTTGCATGTGAGCTTACGGGCGTGCATAATTTTTTAATAAAAAAGAATAAAATAATTGTCGCGAAATACTCCACAAGAATATTTTTGTGAAATTATTCTATTTAATTTGGCCGTTTATATTCTGTATTACGTCGGAAAGATGAATGTTCTCGAGACCATTACATTCTTTCATATAAATTAGTTTTTTTTTCTAAGAGATCGGTAACATATATATAGTTGCTTGCCTATTTACGACGAAAATTTACGATGAAAATTTGCTTTAGTGTTTCGTAAATGATTTGTAGCGACAAACAATGCGATTGACTTGTAAAAGTTCAATTTTCTATAATTATAGATTCCGTAAGAGTAATAAATCTAAAATATGATTATATATTAGAGCTTTATAAGGATGATATATCAGGAGTGTGTGCCATATTACATTGAACCGCCGTCGCCGCTGACACTTGGATCGTTCTCCGTAAGACTCAGTTACTCAGTTTCCTCCTTCGCGCTAGTTGTCCGAAGCGCGCGATTCCAGTATTATACAATCGCGTATGCGAAAGCCTTCGACTGCATCCGTTTAACGGATCCTTAGATCCTTAAGCATCCTGTAGAATATAGTCACACTTATTATTACTACACAAATGTATATCTTGCGTTGTTCTCGAAAACTTGTATTCAAGATTCACTTTAACGCGTGTTAACGGCTATTGGTCCCTTATTGACATTAGAAGCGAAAAATTACGAGTTTTTTTTTCTTACGAAATATATTGAAGTAAATAAGTTTTCTTGTATCACTTGTCTTCGATAATATAAATTAGTAAAACACAAAAACTCCTTTTTTTCGTTATCCTGTATTAATAAATGGACGTATAATTCCATCTAAGAAAATGGAATTTACGAGGATTGACCAAGATTTATTGCTATTTATTAATTAACGAAACAAAAAGAGAGTTTTCGTAGTATTTTGTTAATCTATATTATCGAACACGAGTAGTCCTGTCTAAAAAAAAAACTTATTTATTTCGATGTATTAAAAAAAAAAAAAAAAAAAAAAAACTTATTCTCAAACTGATTTCTCGCTTCATAATTCAGTATAACATCGATAAGGGACCAAGAGTCTCTTAATACATATCCATTTTTCCCGAATACTTTGGCGCTCTTTCGCAATTCCTTTGTTAGTCTTCGTATTCGAAAGATAATAATGCTATCGTGTGTCTCAACGAAACCTCTTAACATCATATAACGAATTATCTTGTTGCACAGCGACTGTTAGTGCATGCTAAATGTTTCGAACATGAATATGTGCAATGAATTAGCATCACATTAGCAAATAGATTCGATCTTGCGGGATACGGCATTATTACGAATAAGCTTTGAATACGAAGACACCGATTTTAAAGAGCGACGATTTGTATTTGGATTTGTTGGAGAGCACTTGGTTATCGTTGTATGCGCGTTCTGAATGTGGGACGCCGAAGACGTGCGGATTCAGTGTAATACGGCGAAAGACACGCATGTGTACGCGAAAATACGACGCATATGCGCACATATATACATACACATACATGCATACACGCATACATACATGTGTACACAAAGTACAGAAGAGACATATAAATAAGAGACGAGAGGATCGAAGGAGATCCCGAACTCGTCTCGCGACTGTAATTACAATTCGCAAAAACATACCGTGCCGTTCGGTTTGTTGATCGTAACAAACCAGCTTTTATAATTCGCATGTAAGATCACCGTCAGGGTGTAAGATCTTAATAAAATCGGTTACGGGTGTCGTATTGTTATATAGAGAGGCACATAACGTGCATTACGACGGAAGAGAAAAAGAGAGTGAAAGAGAGAGAATGAGAGTAAGAAAGGGCGAGTAACAAAAAAAAAAAGTAATTATAGCGACAATGTTAAGTGTGTAATTTGAGAATGAGATTTTTGAGCGTAGATAGATAAGAGTTGCGTCGGAGAGAGAGAGAGAGAGAGAGAGAGAGAGAGAGAGAGAGAGACAGAGAGAGAGAGAGAGAGAAAGGAAGAAAGAGAATTTTTTTAGGCGCAACGAAGGAGATGTCTTGATGGTCATGTATCTGAAGTACTTTTGAAAGTAACCTTGACTTCCGAGAGCTAAAGATAAAAAAAAAGAGAGTGGTGAAAAGAGCGTGTGTGCCGAGGGAATATACTAAGTTTATTGCCGCGGTTCACATATTATCAGAGATAATAATTATCATTATTTTACTTTAATGATTAACATCCATATATGATTCGTATTCGGTCGTAAGAGATCCTTACTGAAGAAAAAAAAAAATCTAGACTTAATTATATAAAATTGTATAATTATATACGCGATATATACATATATATACATATACATATTGGATGAGTTGTCCAGTAAAATCCCAGCAACAAAGAATCGCGTGGAGCAGTCGTCCTCGCGATCCGGACGATGCACCGTATCCCCCTTCCC